TAATATAACAATTTGGGGGAAAAGTCTAATTGCAACTAAAAAAAAAAATTGTGTGCTTGTTTGTATTGTTGTATATGTGCTTGTTTGTAGGGCCCTTAAAATAGTGATCTTGGGATATTAATATGACTAATAATTATAATTATTATTGTTGTTGTTTAATTAAATATTTAATAATAATTATTATTATATATGAAGAAATTAAAATTACATTGAACCATAAATATTGCCATTTTAAAGTTGTTCTGTAAAATGTATAATTATTACAAAATAATACATGAAAATATTACTAATGTAATATTTCACTGTAAAATAAAAATGTTGTATTTAATAAGAAATATATTTTAAAGGAGACATATTATGCCCCTTTTTACAATATGTAATAAAAGTCTCTGGTGTCCCCAGAATGTGTCTGTGATGTTTCAGCTCAAAATACTCCACAGATCATTTATTATATCATTTTGAAAACGTTGTTTTTCGGGCCTGTCTCTTTAAATGCAAATGTGCTGCTGCTCCCCGCCCCATTTTCCAGAATAGAGCTGCGTCATTACAGCTCGGACCTGCTAAAAACATCTGTTTTGGTTCTGATTATCATGTTTATTGCACTGAAATTATGCGTTTTAAACCATATGAGTTTAAACTAATACGGTTTTCTGAGAGCACACATCCGAAGCACACGGACAGAAAGCGGCTGTCACGGCATGTGAGTACTAAACTAAGTTCTCATTCACACACAAGTTTACGTTAAAAACAGTTACATTACAAAAACAGTCGGTTATGTCTGTGAAGGTAAACAGCTGGGAAATAAATCGCATGTTTATTTTAGATCTGTGGCAGCAGCAATATACATTAAATAAATCAATAAATCCACTGCTCGTCATCTCTGAGGCTGGAACTGTAAATAGTGTTCTGTGTTCATCTGTGCAGCCAAAGACAGTACAGTTAGCATGTTTTGCTCAAACTTTCGCCATAGCATTAGAACTGGTACACCGTTGTCGCTTGCGAAATCAAA